GGCAGAGCATCAAGGAGGAAACCCAGCATCTGGTGATGTCTCTGAGTTCAAGACTTCAGGCTGTTATTGCCAGCAAAGGGTTTTCACCCAAGTATAAGAAACGAACATTTTATTTAGTTATTTAATTTGACCAATTACTTCTGAGCCGCTGAAACGAAGGGATTGTGTTTAAAAAATGATTTAGCTCATCTCATTTGTATGCAATCTTTTTGTTCAGCCTGCTGAATCAAAGCTGAACATCTGAAAGACGTTATTTAATTTATTATTATTATTATTATTTATTTGTCTGTTATATTTAAGATCCATATTTTTATTTTTTCCTGATTAAAAATGCCAAATAAAAACATTTTTATGAGTTTTTAATGCACTTTATCTGCATTTTAATTGTTTTCATGCCTTTTGGCAAATGAACCAGATTATTGACGTTCTGACAGGTTCATTTGTTTTTTAAGTCTAACGATGGCCAATCTCTTTGAGCCTTACTTACAATATCAAATACAAATTCAACAGTGAATTAATGTCATATATGTCTGCTCAGTTTTTCATGAAATAACAAAGGAACGAGCCTCTCCAGGCCATGAATCCACTCCTCACTCAGCTGTCCAATTACTTTAGATTGTCTAAAAATGAGGTACAGTGTATAAAAAACATTCCAAATAATAATTCCCATCTTGGTTGTTTGGCTTAAAATCCACCACGGTGGAAGCAAAAATACAAAAATGCTGTCTTTCTCCAACAAATTATTAGCCTAACTGTAGTTTTAAGCATTCATTTGTTGTAGTCGTTCTTCCAAAACGTCCCAAACCTAAAGGTGTCTACAGACTGTAACATGAGTTCATTGCACCTTCACAAGTGTTAAGTCTGAACACTATTACCAAACAATGTATAATATGACCCAACCTCTTACTTTTGTTTGTTTGTTCAGATGAGTAGGTCTTACATTTACTGTCTCTATCAGTAGTTAAACTTCTGAGTAATTGTCCAATACTTGCTCTTCCAACGTTGTATTGTATGAATATTTTCATAGAAAATTTGCTAAATGAATGATGCTTCTGTGATCAGCCCAATAAAATGTATGATAAACCCAACGTCTGCTCTGCGCAGCTGTTCGAATGACCTAATGGAATATTTTTTGTACACTC